ATATATGTGAACATTCAGACTTTTGATATAAGAAGTAAATCACACGACCTACCTTTTCTTATATTTGAGGGCTTGGGACTTCCAGTAATCAACTTCGTCATCCTTTGACGTAAATTTGGGAATCATCTCTTTTTCCATGTCAGGGCACCCTGAGGATTAAAAGAGACTTGTTACTCTCACAGCAGTTTCATTTGACCACAAAAGTACACACACGAAAGCGCTCGTGAGGTTAAAACAACAACAAGCATCGAGCAGTGAAAAGATAAAACTAGCAGGTGACTCAAAACACGGTACAACACTTTCACTATACGTCTCCTTTGGCATGTAGGATCATGCCCTCTTATCTCAGCGCTGAACAAACCAAATCCAGATTAAAACATTCCCCTCGTTCCTCAAGAAGATAACGGATCTCTCTTTACTCAAAAGGGACAAACAAAGGCAGCTCGGTCACGTCATCCTGTGGTATCTGGGTCATTACATCCTCAGTTACTCATGAATCACCGACCATATCCTCGGATTATTTAGAAGCCGAGTTATGATAAACTGACCGAGTAGCCATCGAGACACGCTCAGTAGCAGTGTGCCCCCTATATTAAACCTCATTAAATTCCTAACCTTGCAGCTCAACTCATGTGACGTCAACATTACTAATTCATTAAAGGCGGTCCATGTGAATTAAGCCGTCTGTTGTAGAACCGGTTCTAAAGTTCTTCCATCCTGTTTGCAGAAATACCACTTCACTAAAATGGCTGTTCCTCTTTTCTGGTGAGCTAATGAGGTTCAGGAAATGATTCAACACATCTGGAACGACCCGTGGTGTGTGTGTGTGTCTGTGTGTGTGTTCTGTGTGGGTTGAACACAGCTCCCATTGCTGTGGCTTCAGGAACATTCATAATCCGAACAAGAGATCTTCAGGGATTTCCTGCAGATGGGTCAGACAACCAGAGGACAGCGGATACAGGAAACCCCTCCGCTGGACTGAGGGTCAAGCAAACTACTCTCGACAGTTCACGGCAGTTTGTATTTACGGTCTAGACTCAGAAGAATGGAGACACAGAGGCAGGACCGCCTGTTCTTCCCCTTTTAAACATTCCTCAGAGATGGCGTCATCAACAATGTACCCGCTATGAGTCAGCAGCACACTACTTTGGAAATCACGAAGTCAAACTGGAGACCAGGAGCTACCAAAGCTATTTCACATATTTAAGACATGCGAGTGGCTCAGTTACATCACGCAACAGGTCAAGAGCCTAGACTCGGTTCCCGTCTCTCATTTCAGCACCCTTTGGTGTCAGTTTGACCCCCCTGGATTGCGTTTGTTGTTAAAAACACCAGGTCAGGCAGCAGGAGGTGGTGACATCTGGAAGCTACTGTACAGACAGCGGAAGGAAGCGGAGAGAAAGTTCCCTTTCCCACATTCTTGTCTCTACATCTTCTTTTGTTGCTGATGACTATGGTGCTTCCTAAAGAGTTGCTGACACTCATGTAGTCACATTTTTTTTTAATAACGGGGCCTGTGAGAGGGGGTGAGTCAAAATGCCTCTTTGTAGTCCTGCTGGTTTGCTCTAATGGGAATAATAACCAGCTCGACGGGGTGTGGTGGCAGAGCTCCTCTGACCTGGCCCCATGTGTTGGTCCCTTGTCATACATTTTAAAGAACATGTAAGAAATGTTAGAGGTTCAAAACAGTCATATTGTTGATCATCAAGTGATCAACAGAAGGACGATTTACTACAAAAATGACAAGTGACACGTATCACACATCATTTCCAGGAAATACACACATTTTACGCAAAATAAAAGCAGTCCCCAGTTTAAATGTCTCCGACCAGCGGAAGCTTGTCATTTCGGTCCGTTAGCTAATAAACAGCACCATCAATGTGCGATGATCGACAGTGTGCTATGCTTCATGCTGTTAAAAAAAACAAAACACGGGATTCCACATGACACAAAAAAAAGTGAAATTGAATATCATATGAAGCAATAATCAAAGCGATTATTAGGCATTTAAATCGAGCTCGCGCTGCTCTCTCGGCAACGTTGATTACACAGAAAGCAGCAGCTGAACACGACAGCTGGACTCACACACAGCTCACACATTTAAAAACGGCGTATTTTTGAAGTTAAACTCAGTACCTGCTCATGTCAAATCGGCGTCCAGCTATCTTCTGTTTCGGGGGGGGCGGGGGGGTCGCCTTCCAGCCGGTGTCACATCCAACACCACGCGCGCGCGCACACACACACACACACACACACACACAGCACACGCCTCTCTCCTGCCTCGAATGATGTTTAGGAAATTGCCAACGCGTCTCCCGGAACCGCCGCGTGACGCCCGACAGACGTGCGTTCTGACGTAAAACCACGTTGACGTCAGATCTGGGCAGGGCTGCTGTAGAAATACAGCTACTAGAATCAGCCGCACCTCCTTTTTGAGTGCAAGACAGTGACCACGAGGTGGCGCATGCTTGCCAGAGACCGCCACACAGGGACAGGCACGAAGAAGACAGACCAGGCTTCCATAATATTCTTTTACTTTTCTATTGTTTATGGACAATATTAGAGCTACATGTGCCCTTCTTTTCTCAGTTGTATTACACAACTGCATGTTTAGTCTGTCATCATTATTATTACTTACATTTTTGATCGTCTAGTAGCTTATTTTTTCTGTTACACTATTCCATATTTCATACTATATATGAGCTATCAATAGACTACAATATAATATAAATGATCATTACCCTCATTTAAGAAACTCATGGAAAACACTGGAAAAAAGGCCTACATTATTTATCTGATGCATTTGAAATTGGGGTAACTCAAAAAAACAACATTTCTTTGAGTTTAGTGAAGTTGATATTTTGAGTTGGGCACACTAAGTAACAGTAACTTCATTAGACTTAAATTTGAGAAATGTGAAAAGGCACAACAACAACAACAAAAAGTTCAACCAACTTTATTAAAGTCGGTATATGAATTACACAAATCTTGATTAAATTTAGTCGAATTTATGTTTAACAACTTACATTAAGTCGTTCTTGTAATGTAGGTTGATAGGTGATCGCCAATTGGTCAGATGTGCTAGTTTTGCTGATATTTCAGGAATGTCGGTGTAGCATATAGTGCTGTAGAACATAACACATGAACCAGCTCGTCCACATGAACTGACAGTAATGCGCAGGGAAACCAATCAGTGAAGTCACTGGCAGCCAGAGGTGGCTGGCCCTGTTTTACAAGGCGCAGCTCTCGCCTCCACCCTCAGCAAGATAAAGTCATGCGCTCAGGGAATTCACGCTACACTTATGCAGGAATCGACTTTTAATCTCCTGCTGCAGTGGTTGATTTTCCTTCAATGGCATTTTATAAGGAAGACAGCCAGGAGGACGCGCGAGAGTGTCCAGTGTGCTATGAGTGTCTGTCGGGCACGGAGAGGACCCTGAGCTGCGGACACGTATTCTGCCACGACTGTCTGGTCAAAACGCTGGTCAGCATCAACAGCAATGGAAACATCAGAGACACTATTGTTTGCCCCATCTGCCGACATCTTACATTCATCAGGAAACAACAGGAAGCGCCCGTGGCCGTCACGACGGACAAGGATCCAGGTGAAGGGCAGACCCTCGAGGTACCTCTCCCTCCGCCTCCGAGACAGGTCCAGCGCGCGCGGGGCGACTCCAGGGACACTTTACCGGGAGACGTTAACCGGATTGCTCGCTGCTTTAAGGGAGTGTCTGATCGATTCCGTCGACAGAGGTTGATCAGCCCCAGCCATACCGCATCTCAGATCTTTATCATAAGCGCTCAAGGGCGACCCATGGCCGAATACGATGCGCTCAGCGTTGTGATGACTGTGGTTCAACCCCGGCGCAGGCGAAGGCGAAGGATTTGCACAACTGCGCGATGCCTGCTCGTTTTACTGTCAGCATTTACTATACTGGCACTAGTGGCTGCTACTTTACCCTGGATTTTGCTGGCATAGCCCAGTGATATGGATTATGAAGGGCCATTAGGGCACGATGAACTGAAGTTGTTTTTACTAAAATCAATTATCTTATGAATTTCAGGAAATAATAAATGCACTGAAAATGTACAATTTCGTTAATATGGTAATACTTTTGTTTGCAACAAGGTTTTAAGATGTTGTCTTTTCCTTTCCCCTTAAGGAAAAGTCAAGGAGTTTATAAGCATGCCCATGTCCTTTATGTGCATTACCAAGCAACAGTCTGAGGTAAAGTAAAGGTTAAAGCCTGGACAGCTAACTCTTTAGTCTGTGACATGTTCCACCTGTTTTACGGGAAGCTATCATGCAGGCAATTGTAACAATTTCAAAGCACATCCAAAAGTTTGTAAATCCAAGAGGAGTGGACATTTTGAAATGATAATTTCAACAATAATCAAAAAAAGGGGGTTGGCTGAAAGAAATGTAACAAAAAAACGTATAACCCTGCTTGTTGAAGCTGCTCAAGTCATTGTTGTGTTACTCTGTTGTTGGACACACTGTTTCTAAGCAGCAGAACAAAAACTGTATACTTCAGAGCTAACATCTTTCCCACCTTCAGGATTATTTTTGAGTGTCTGCATATGTCCTCAAAATAAAAAAGATGGGTCACATTTTGGCAGCAAGACGTCAGCTTGGTTTATTGATGGAGCAAAGTGTAATAGTAAAGACCTTGTTACATGTTGACAGACTTCCTCCACTCCTTACAGTAGACGAAGACATTTTTAAAAATATCACGCAATTTCTATTTTAAGCATTCACTTTACACATGCTGATCAAGTGGGAAAACGCAACCTGGAGGGAGTCAGAGGTTTTGTTAGACCCCAGTAACACCCCGATCCTATACAGCGTGCGACTGACTCTCCTTGTAGTGTGTATATAAGTGTAAACAGAGCCACCTTTAAAACTTTCAGTTAGAAATAATTGATGCATGGCAGTCTGAAGGAGAGATATAGCAGGCAGAGATGAGCTGCGCCTGGCTGTAAGGAGATATACTGCTGGACTGTGGCATTAAATTACCGCCTGTAAAACAAAAATTTCTTGGAAAGTCTAATGATAATTTTTCTGAAACAAATAGCTCACAATCCACAAAAGACTGCCAGTATCGTCACCATCCTGACAAACATGTACACTCCTAGTTTCCTCCAATGTAACAATCCCTCAGCCATCCTGCTGGGCCAGTCCTACAGGTTACACTCCTGGAGAGGCCTCTGTTTTTCAGTCTTGCCCAGTTTCTCAGTGGGTGAGAGGACAATAATTATTTATTTCATTTGATTAAAATAACTTTGTTTGTTGATGATATTGGGTTGCATGTCAGTGGATATATCCAAATGAACTGTAAAAAGTTGTAAATGCGGAAAAAAGACACCAATTTCAAGGCAAAGAGAGATTTCTCAAAGAACCAGCTGTTAGGTTTCTGCTCACTCTGATGAATACATTCCTGTGGCAGAATTAATCCCCAGGTGGTGGTGGAAGAAGCACTCAGATCCTTTAAATATTCAATTACGAGTCAAAGTCCTGCATTTAAATAAATCCTATAGAAGCATAATAATCAAAATGTTCTTAGCGTCAAAGTAAATATACTGCTCAGCAGTAAAATGTTCCCTGTGACTGATTTGCTACAATATATTAAATGAATATTGTTGTAGCTGGTTAATGTGGAGCTATAGTGTTCTTGCTACCACAAGACACATCTGGGGGTTTGTGAGATGATTGATGTTTCAGGAAAGAAGAAAAATAAAGTTTTGATACAAAAATCTCTTTTCACTTAACTTTTCTCTCATCAAGAGTTGTTAGCAAACATGACAAGGATCCCCGCAAAAAAAATAGATTGTAAACCAATCGCTACATTTTTCACATAATGTTGGGTTTCAAATATGCTTCTCATATGTTTGTTTTAAGGTAAAATCTTAATCTGAAAGGTAATTGGTAACTTTAGCTGTTAGAGAAATACATGGTGGAAGTATTTAGATCCTTAAATGAAAGTACTAATGCCACTTTGAATATACTCCATTAGAAGTTAATGTTCTGCAGTCAAAAGAGTAAAAGTATAATCAGCAAAATGTACATAAAGTATGAAAAGTACTCATTGTGCAGTAAGAGGATGTTTTTGGATGAATACTCCTGCTATACTTACTTATATATTGTTGGGTGGTTGTATCTACAGCAATGCATCATATTAAATAAGATCATCATTCATGTTCATGTATAGCATCAGTGTCCTGTGACAACGTCTCTAAAACGCTAACTTTTCCTGAGCTCAGAATGAGAGCCCTGCATGTTATCAGCTTTGTGACGATGCATTTTTCCAGGTGATACAAGAGTTTAAGAAGTGGGAGAATTCTCTCAACCCATAAAGGAACACTTCATTCTTCCGTTTAGCAGAAACATTTAAAGTCACCAAGTTTGGAGATACATGTTTTCACTGGAAAGTGGAAGGGGAGGGAAAACTGTAATTTGCTGAAATGTAAATGTAATGAGTAAATAGTACAATATTTGCCTCTGAGATGTAGTGGAGAGCTATGAAGTTGCATTACATGGAAAAGAGTACTTTTTACTTGAGTAAATGTACTTAAATTCCACCGTTGGATAAATGTAGTGGGGTTGAGTGCATTAGAAGTACGTTTTTTCTCCAAAATGAAGCAGAGTAAATGTGGCCAAAGACAGAAATACTCATACATAAAGTACACATACCTCAGAATTATAATGTACATCCTGACTGTTAGTCCTGTCATCAGGGATCATCATACGCCCAATTAAAAACAGATATTTTTTCCAAGAAAACACTGAAATAAAACCCACATGAACCAGGTGAGATTATTGAAAATGTAGAGTTTAATATATATATGTATATATATATATATATATATTTATTTCTGACATTCTGATAAGGATTGCAGGTAGGCTTCACAGTACACACTGTGTTCCACTTGATATGCTAAGCAGAGGAGGAAGGGGTGGACATGGTTGGCTTGACAAGCGGCAGGTTTTGTTTGTACACATGTAGTGAAAGCAGAAGGAGGCAGTACATCCACAGGCAACATCCACTCCTCTACCGTATTGCTCAAAACCCCACGAAGGACCATTTATTGTGATCCACATTCTCCATCTCTACATTTCACCCCTTTTACAATCCCTAAAAAGACAGTGATTGACACAAAACGTGGATTATCAAAAGACTATCTAAGCGCATGCATGACACTTTTTTTTCCCTCATGTAACCCCTCCCCCCACAAAATGTAAACAAATTGAGCTTTACTTTAGACCAACTTGGTGGTGAGGTGATACACCTGGTCTACAGTACTTAAAATGCTTGATAAAACTATTTAAGAGTGTACCACCAAAAAGGTGGCTTCTGTCATGCTCTTGAAAATCGGCGTAAAGTTACGGGCAGAAATTAGATATGAAATTATGACTTGTGTTGTGGGGGAGGGTACAGGTGTTTTATTATTCTCAGAAGCACAACAATCAAACCTAGAATGAATATGAATGCATGCTTTTAGGTGGCTGTAATTTCCAGTTATGATGCACAAAAGCATTACAGTAATACTGCACTGCACTTATAACAATACATGCCAACAGGCCCTAACTAACCTTCATCCAAATACAAGCTCTCATTTGCTTATTAGTTATTACAAAATCAGATAGCCTATTGTTTGAAATGAGCGAGTCACATTCAGTCTGCACACAGAGAGAGAAATACCCCTGCCTCCTCGTATAAATGTATGGATCCAGCACAGAAAATAAAACCTCTAGTACACATTAATTATGCCTATAGTTCCAAAATAACGACCAGAGTGAGGGCACTTGCAATTGTTGTCAAATAATCACCACGACGATCAATATAATTATCAACGTCACCAAAATCGTCATAGAGAACACACACTGAGGCATACCATTGATCACTTTTGGAGAAAGGTGAATCTAGAATTCATTTTGTCAGAAGAAACTCACACATAAAACAAAACAGAAGAAATGAATTGCTTTGCAATAAAATGAATGGCTTTCTTTTCTGTAGGCTAGGGAAGGGTGACTTTGACCACTTTTTGGATTGAGGTGGATCAGTTATTAACACTGTAATTGCACTTTAATTGACAAAATCATAATCCTAAAACATTTTTTTTATGGAATTAAAAAAGTGACACTGCAGCATCTGTTATCTGATGAACTCGAACTGTTTCTGATTAGTTGTCTGCAGTGAGAATAACAACAAGGGACTCAATTTTGTTTTACATTTTTGCAGCTGATACCGCAGGTGTGCCAAATCTAATTACGCATTCGCCTTTCTAATTGACTGAGCATATATTTTTAGTCAGTCCCACAGTATGTTTGGGATTACATTTATCATCATTGTGAATTAATTAAACGGTCAGAGTGTGCTAAAAGCAATCTAATTATTTACACAGGAATCTATTAAATAACTGATTAATAAAAAGGAAAAGCAGAAAAGATAGGGCATTGGTGTGCAACTCATTCGTGCTCGAGCAGAGTTTGAAGTCAATGCTCGGGAGTCAGAATTAGAAAAAGCACAATTCTAGCAGAAATAAGCTTCTGCATTTCTGCTGCAGCACCATTGTTACCTGGTGTTAAAGTAAAGCACTATGCATCTACAGTAAACCTGTTCATTGTGTGCAGGGACAAAAATAACAGCACATTTTTAATCATTACATTTTCTACACATGATAAATATCAGCACATATATTATTATTATATATATATTCAAGATATGCATTTTACATATACTTTTCCTCTCATATTTATATACATCAATTTTTGTACAGCCTTTGTATTTACACTAGGGGTCTAAGGTCACTGAACCTGAAGCACTTGAAACAAAGTTAAGAGAGAGAATCATACGAACCGAAAGGCAGTGTAGTCATCCATCCATTCTCATAAAGCTGTAACAGCACATGGGTGGTCTAAATGTACTCCGAGGACAACAACAACAACAGAAACACTCACACAAAATAAAACACTGTCATTCTGAGGCCCTCGATCCGAAGCAGTCTGTTCATATTGGCTTGTCATGCAAACACATCGTGGTGCTTTTCGTCAAAAAAAATTGAATTTACAGGAACATTCTTCTCATACTGTGCTGGTATAAAGTGAGTTAAAGTGAGCTTACCTGTATGAAGGTAAATGTTGGATAAAGAACTACAGTTGTAATATGTGATAAGAGAGCGGAAGTAAAGACTGGGAGTGACAATAAGAATTAAACTGCATGAAACGTTTCATCCTGCATGCAAAACCTGTCTCTACGGCTCAGCATTTTTCCTAATGTGCACAAAGCTTGAATACCCTGTGAGCAATATAACAAGACTACTCTCTGTCTCTCTGTTTCACCCTGAGGATGGGCCTTGCTCCTAACTATGTCAGGCTCTGAGTTTCCCTTACCAATAGTTGCACAACTTGTGAATATCATATTGCAATTTGATTGCATGTTCTAATAAGGCAAAAAGAAATTGGAAAACTCACAGAAATACAGACCACTGCATCAAACAACAAAGATGAACAAAAGCAAAGCAAAAAAAAACAACAAATAAATTGAAAAATCTTAATGTAATAGTCATCAATATTCCAGTCTTTCCTCCTAAAGGCAACTGTTCCTCAACTATGGCATTTTGGTGTTTTTTTTTGTAGTCACATTTATGTACTAGCGAGCGATTGTAAGATTAGTTTCTTTGCAGCCTGTAGCAGATGTGTTCGAGTTGTGGTTTCAGGTGGGCATTGGTGAGGCCAATTGGTGTTTCCATCAGGCCTTGGTGGCGACAGTTAAGAGTATGTACAGCCACAGGGGTGCTGGTAAAGCTGTGATGCCTTAGGGTCATAGGTCATAGAGTGGTGCTCTGTGGCTCCTCCTCAGGCACAGCGTCCCCCTCTGGAGAGCCTGTCACTGCCACGGACCTCCTGCAAGGGACACCGCTGAACTCATCGATGAGGCTGTCCAGATTGACATTGATGGAGGGGATTTCATAATTGAAGATATCTAATGGTGAGCATGGTGGGAGAGGTGAGTATGATGAGCAGAATGGTGGAAATGTTGATGATGAGCAAGAAGAGGAGGAGGAGGAGGAGAAGAGGGCATATGATGATGATAATGAGGTGTAAAAAACGGAAGAGAGCAGAAATAATATTAATCTTTTTGAGTCTGAACTCATGGGAAGTGGCATATGACGTCTGTAATCAGTCAAATATATGTGCTTCACATTGTACACAGGGATGTATTAAGTGTGTTGCTAGTTACACTTGAACAAGCTAGTGTGGTATGTCACAGCTTCTTGTGTCTTTTGAGACAACAACAGATATCTTCTCAGATAAAATACAATAACAGGTCAAAATGACTGCACAATGACACCTTACTGTACACGTTTACAACAATGGCCAGGTAAACCAACACAGAGGCAACATGATGTATGTGGAACTCTGTGGAAAAGTGGCACCAAGACACCAAGTGGGCTTGAAGTAACGATGGAAATCTAATAAGGACCGGATACAGTATTTGCTCTAAATATATTCTAATGTGCTGCTGCATTTACTGAAAGCAGAGACTGATGACTACTCCTGTGTAGGAATGAGATGGAGCGTGGCAGTGTAGTTAAAGGGAGCAGAGGTTATAAAAAGCGATGAACCTGCCAAAGGGGGAGAGGGGGTTACCTGTGGCCCCCCCCGATACCGGTGGCAGGAGCGTTAGAGGGGGATGTCTGCTGGCACAGGGCTTGGTACGGGG